GATTGAAGATGCTGGAGAGGTCATAGAACTCTTTTACCGGTGTCGATGTGGTGATCACTTCTCTGTTGATTCTTTGGAGTTGGGTAAAATGGGGTACACTTTGTTGAGGGATGGAACTGAGATATCTTTAAGGATTCCCGATGCTTTACCAGCATCAGTTGTTCTCCCTTGTGGTTCTTGTTCATTGCTCGTTCGCCTGATGATAAATCCAGATATTAAAGTTCCGAGCGATGGTTGTTTGTGATCAGTTTACCTTTTTTCAATTCTAATTGATGATTAAGTTATTCTTTTAATTGCGCTATGAAAGCTTTAGATATGAAGTGAAGCAGTTGAGGTCTATGGCAGCCATAGGGAGCAGATGAAGATATTCAATGTTGTGTAACTTTCTTATACCGAGTGAACAATCTTGAGGAAAGTTTCCTCGATCATTTTTGAGGATACTTTTATCAAAATGTGATTAGGTTTGGTTCTGTTTTGTTGTGTGTGTAGTGCAATGTGAAAACCAGGCATGCCCTGCTGAGACCAAAGATGATGGAACTTGAAACATATAGTATTTGGTCTCAGTAAGGAATAAAATTCAGCACCAATTCATGGGGCTTGGTTGTCGGCCCCGACATGGGCTCACCATGTAAAGCCTTGTGGCCTGTGGGTTGCCTTGCAATGATTAACTTTCCAAAGCTTATACATGTTGACGATTGCGTAACCAAACCAAAATGCCGGAAACAGGGTAACAGAGAATCTATTGATCCCAAAAACAGTCTGACTGGTTGTTGGGGATAGGGTCCAAGGCAATCTTTAAAAATTTTACATTAATTTTCGTACTTAATCTTGGTTTTTAATGAGCAATTAGTTCTTAATGGAAAAAAAAGGGAAAGAAAAGTAGAAGGAAAGTAGATTGATCTGCTCCACGCCTCGATACGTCGACACGTCAATAAATCCAATCCTTGGCTTTAACTCTTTGCGCTGTCGGATTGGAGAAGCTTTCTTGCTTGTCCAACAGATTCACGCAACTCAGAAAGAGCGATTGCACAAGGTTAGTGTCTCTACCACTTTTTCTTCCTCTTCGAACAGGACTGGGTTCCAGACCTTTTATCGTTTTCGCTACAATTAATTAAGTAATTTGGAGTTGATTAATTCATTGAATGTTGGGGTTTTCAGCATTGAAGATCAGAACGGAAAGTGAAGCGTGAAGCCCAGGTTCATTGAATAAAAGACTCTTGGAAGCTGATGGGTTCTGGGGAAGGAAATCCTCGCTTCAGTGTCTTTGATGGAGTTAAGACTTTCCCATTAACACCCGAGGCTCTCATGGCAGAGATCAACACAGCTATTACTAATCTCGAATATGCACGTGCTACAGCTCTCCTCGACTCCCCATCTTCATCTATGTCGAGAAACAAAGGTCATGATTCGCCTAAGTATGATGCCCGAATGGCTGATGAGGCTTATAAAGCTGGATGTGCTGCACTGGCTGCTGGCAAGCTTGATGAAGCTTTCCATTCTTTGAATGTTTCTCTCTCCAAATGCCCTCCTGAGAAAACCTCTGCTGTTGCCAAGCTTCAGTCTCTTATATCTGTCACCTCTCAGCAACTTCGCAAATCTTCTGTTTCAAACTAACCCTTGTTGTTATGGTGCGTATTTTTTATCTTAATTTTCACTGTTTCAATCCAATTTAAGTCAAAACATTGCTTTAGAACTAAACTTATAATGTTGTCGTTTTATAGGTGCTTTTGCATTGCTATCCAAGTATGAGGTTCTTTCTCATTAAGGAAAAAGAATATGAATAAACTGTACATAGTTGAATTCAGTATCAATTAATTCATCAATATAACAATAATTCAGTTTATATGTGAAAGATTTGAACAAATACAGGGATAAGCTCAGAAATACATGATTTTATATATGGATAATAGTGAGTTAGTTATAGACCGGTATGTATGTAGGTCCTTCGTAGGTCATAGTTCTTTTTGTGTTATGTACTCACTCCTTTGGTATTTGTAAGTATCAAGATTAATATGCCTTATGAAGAGGTTTTCCTGGGCACAGGAGCAAAAGCTTTTTGTTGTTACCACTATTTAACCTATCTTTGGATTTGGTGGAGAGGAAAAAGAAAGAGCTGTATCTCAATACTCAATAGAGATGCTGTAGCTAAGTAGCTTATACTTAACTTCACATTCATTTACTTTTCAAAAAGAAAAAAAAAGAACTTCACATCCGTTCAAAGGTGGAGAGCTGTGTTAATTCTGGCTAATTTTCTGCTATGTGTGCTGGTACCCATGTCCTCTTGACTGGGTTACTTTTGCAATATTGCTCGACAAAGGTTAGATGGCATCAAGTGATGCTGTGCTAAAGAATTATACTGTTTATTGTGCCAAGCCAATCATAAAAGACTGTTATGAGGCTTGTTAGGGTTGCGGGCTTGCAGTTTAGTTGAGGCGAAATGCTTACGATCTGTTGTCCAAAGTAATGCATACACCATAATCTCTTATTATAACTTGTAAGAACTATCAAAAAAGTTTCACATGCACACGACTCGAACACTAAGCTTAATCTTTTTGCCTAGTCTTAGAAGAATTATTTTTGGAAAGACGTAGCAAATGTTGAACATTGACTTCTAACATTTGAAGATTGTGGAAATGATTTCTCTAGTTAGCTTTTGATTGTTTATTTATGTTCTAACTCGCTCTTTGCTTGTAAATTAGGTGGCACTACTGGACAAAGCTAGCCATCATTGGTTGCTTTCATCTCTATCATGTTGCCTTTTCCATTCATTAAAGTTTGTCTGAGGTTGGAAATGATTTTTCCTGTTTCTTTTGGCTTGACAAGTGCAATAGTTGGGCTGTCCTATCATTCATGACATCCTGTACAGTTGATTGGGGAAATCCTCGTGGTGATTCAGATCTATGGTCGAGGATGGGGAGAGATGCAGCAACCTTCTCTCTTGCCCTGGCTCTTTCTTGGCTCTGGGGTATCAGAACCTGCTAGTCTTTAAGGTGGTTGAATTATGTTGGGCATAGACCGAGTATTAGTAATGTAATTATGCTGTCTATCATATCAGATTAGTTTCTGTAACTCTTACACTCTGCAATGTTAATCGTTTATTCTTCTGTTTTGACATAAAAATTTTCAATGAAGGCACTTGCCGATCAATTGGCTATCACATCCCCATTTTTTTGCCTCTTTGATTATTTGTTCAAGACAAGCTTTGTCTCTCTGTTATCCCTGAAAGCATGGAGACTAGTTCCATCGAGGAGGTGCCATTAAGAAATTCATGAAGTTGCTTTAAAACATACACTCGTTCTGCAATTTTGGTTCTGTCTCGTGACATTTCACCAAGATTCCATTAAAATGGCCAAAAGATAACGCTCTGATGATAAGTTCTTTTCCTAGTACAGTTAATGCCGGTTGACCATAATCATGAGTGTCATGCCTACCTCAACTGCTTAGATTGCCACTTGTCGTCAGGGACTGAAAGAAAACAAAAGAGAGAAGGAACTAGAAAGTCAGTAGATCGTAGGAAGGACATAAAACTTGGTTAACGCCGGATCTTGATCAAGCTTTCCATTATGTAATGCGGTCGTAAAATCATTGAGGCACGCTCAGCTAGCTCAGCCAGTTCCCTTACAAGTTTTACTCAGGTACGTTCGTTTCGATTCCATGATTTGACAACAGTCTACAGCTACTTTATAGTACAATCATTTTGATTCAGAATCGAAGAAAAGGCCACGGTTTGTTTCTGTATTCTATATTGCTCTTGAAACAACTTCAGGCCGGACAAAGTTAGGTACCAGGTCTTGGGTTTCACCATGACTTAAGCTTGAAGTGAAACTTGTAAATTACTCTAAAGGAACTATCTATGGAAAATGAAAAGAAATATAACTCAGTTTAAGGGTCTCCATGGGGAATTTTTTCAGCCCAGTTGATGAACATCAGACGGTAATCTCAAGCTGAAAAGTGAGATCCTGAGTGTCATTTGTTAGTCTGTCTAGCACCTTTTTAACTTAGTCTTTACCCCAAAGGATAGAGTCCCTGTATTTCCCAGTGCGCTGCGATGGCACTATCAACATATAAGCAGGTCAATTTTTAACACCATAACAAGGAATGAACTATAGCAATCAATGTTCTAAAGTAGTCCGTGTAATATAAATTCAGTATCTTAGCAGATCAATTTGCCACTTCCAGACATCTGGTTTCTCTCCAACATGAGCGTCTTTTATCAGGAAGAGCAGCCTCGTCAGTCTAAGAGATGCAAGTTCCTAGCTTCTGTTCTGAAGGAAGCGTTTTCCAATTGCCATACTTTCGGTGGACATTCAGGTCCAGAGGAAGAAAATCCAACAAGTGACATCGATGATGAATCGGAAGTACGAACTAGCACTAGCAGCAAACATGATTTTTCCCAGTTTTCTAAGTTCATTTCACTGCCAATATTCGACCCTTTTTTGTGTTTGTGATGTTGTTTTACAGGTTGTTGTTTCTGAGATTCGGAGTCGAGCAATGGAGAAGATGAAGCGCCGGCCTAGTCTAATAGCAGAAAACATTTCCTGGGTGTTTTCTCCTTCGACAGGAGAGCTGTATATAACCTCAAAGCACGCCAAGCGAAGAGACAAAGATAACGAAGATGAGGAAAGAGAGGAATTCTTTTCTGTCGGGAGTTGTTTCTCTCTCTGTTCGAGTGCTGTGAGCAGGGAAGCGTTTCTCTCGGCCAAGACAAACTTTTCCCGCTGTTCAAGCTTAAACAAGGTTGATTTCCCAGACTTTTGGAAGTTTGATCTTCAGGATTTTCGACGGCGATCAATAATTCAGGAATTCTGCCATTGCGAGGGGTGGCCATTTGGGCTGTGTAGGAAGGCTGTGTTACTTCCGCCTCTGCCGAAATCCCCTTCCGAGTCTTGGTCTTGGCGTAAAGGCACCAGATTAGCTAAGACGCCATATATTTAAACATAGCCTGGCCTTGGTCTTTTTCTGTCTCTTTTACCCTATTTGATCTTGGCGATTGGAAAGCAAAGCAAGCTGCCTTCCTTTTACTATTTGCTCTTTCAAGTGCTAGAACCATGCTAAATACTAGCATCCAGTCAAAGAATAAAGAGGTTAATTATGGACATTAAATTTGTCTGTCTCTCTCTCCGGTAATTAATTGATTATGAACTTCAGACAGGGAGCAAGCATGCCCCTCTCCACTGTATTATATTTTCCTTGGAGGTCCGGTTTACCATCCCCTTTTGAACCTAGTGCAATGCGCCCATTTTTTGAGAAGGACAGGCTAACATCATTTAGACCAATTAGAGAAGCAAAAACCCTTTTTTGCTTCTGGTAGCATCATAAGTCAAGTAATGAAAAAGAATGGTGCAGGAAAATTTTCCGATTAAAAAAAGCTTAAGACACATGATGTTACACTTAAATTTACTGTTGTTCACAAAGATATGCCTTTTATTTAGCTGCCAAGCAACTTGAACCTCGAAGGTTTTCTGGCAGAACAACACCGACCTGTCTCCAACTATTCATAAACATGATCTAAAACAGAATAAGTCCAGAGTGATATTGAACTCTCTCAAACTATAATGCTAAGCTCTTTGCTCCACATAAGATCCAGAAAGTCCAGAGGTTCCAAGAACAGTAACCTGCAATCAAGCAACCAAAACTGTTTAAGGAGTTGCGACGTAATTGCCATTTATTTATAGTACCCAAAATACTTGTGTACATATACAAGTGGCAATTTAGCAACAGTGCTTACATACAGTGCTTATGCAACAATGAATGCGAATGTCAATGCAGCTAAGAGAAAACTATGGGCTGATGCACCTATTCATTTCTTCGCTCTCCTCATAAATCTGGGTGGATGAGGGATAAATAGAAAACTGTTACTATAATATGACAAGTGATTCTCTTAATGGGTGAAACTTTGGACCTGTATTCTGCTCGGTATTCCAGAACCCCAGATGGTTAGGATGTCAGGTACACATCAGCCAAGAACAATTCCAACTCGTGCACATACTCTGAGATGATCTTTTTGCTAGTTCTCACGTCTTAATCACCATTTGGGCAAGTTAACCCCAATACTAATTTTCTTGTGTCATGTTGAACCATGAATCACATGCAACAGAGTACATTAATTACTATAAACCCACGTTATAATGCTCAAGGTAGATCATGCAGTCAACAGAATTAATAAATAAGGGGCAAAACATTCAAGTACCTTTCCCCACTCAGAACCAAGACCACTACATCTCATCTTGAGGTAGATCATCTTTGATCCCAACTCTGTCTCTACCTTCTTTCGCAAATAGGTTTCATCAGGACCAAATGCATCCAAGTAAGTTGTATATCGTTGATAAACTGTGCGAAGTGCGTCTACAAACTCATCTGACAAAGGCTTTACATTCTACAAAGAAGATTCAATTCATCAAACACCGAGAATGCGTGATAATGAGACAAAGTAAACAAAAGAATCATCAGGGCCTTATAGATTATAATACCTCTCCACTCAATCCAATGCTGTCATCAAGTTCCATTTTCATGCTCATCAGAATGCCACCAAACTCTTCAACTGCTTCAGCAGCTCGGAAAACATTTTTCAAAGCCTCCTGGCCAGCTTTGTCATCAGTATTTTTGGACAAGGCTTTCTTTGCATCCTGTACAACTGAATACGGAACTTCATCCCAACTTCCAGCCATTAAATCCTTGAAGACATTCTGAATTTCAGGGTCTTTTATGGCAGGCATGTGAGTTACATCTTCACTAAAGTAGCGTCTGCTTCCCAATCTCACAGCAAGGGAAGACCTGCCACCTGCGTACATTAACTGATGCATAAAATGTGTAGAACATCATACAAGTTGGTACCTTTACAACTTGCTACACATTTCACTAGCAGCTGGAAATAGTTGTTTTCAAAATAATCAAACTAATAAGCAAATGCACCAATTGGAAATATCAGTCATAACGCACCAGTATCACCACAAGTAGTGCCATCCTATTTTATACCCATAGTCTTGCATAAAATACATTATTTATGTAACACATATTATCACTTAGACCCAAAAACCTTCACACATTAATTCACGCACTCAGTTGGAGGTATAAAATGCCGTGTAGCGAAGACAATATTATGGTGAAAACTTTGACACATTTCACTGAATGATGGAAGCACAAAATTAACTCCGTTTGTTTCTAAGCAGCCCTGAAAGATTTCAGCTGCTACCTTGATTTAGACAAGACATGGAATCCCATATGATAAAAGTAACGTATGAATTGAACATGTTTCATGATGAAAACAATGACAAAGAACAACAGACCAGAATTCCAAATTCTATGTTAACACAACCTCACAACCATAAAGCAGTTATACAAGAACTTGAATTCAACCCTTATCAGGAGTAAAGGTAAAATCTTGCACAGGTAACAACAAATAAAGCTACAATTTTGAAACCCCAAAACACTTTAATTAAGTAATCATCAGAAGCCTGAGCTAAACCTTATTCATCTACATTAGATAAAAGTAAAACCCCAAGAAAAAGAAGTCAAATACAAACGCAGCTTAACCAATTACACGACCTATATCATTTACCAAATCTAATTCAACGAACTCAGCGATTCCGAAGATGATTAAAAACGAGAAATTTATTATCAAATAAGGGTCCAAAAGAATAGATAAGTACCGGACGGGAGGTTTCTAGGCGGATTAGAGGCGGAAGGTGGTGAGACAGAGAAGAAACTCCGGGAACCCAAGTGGGGGTTATGGGCGGCAGCAGCGACGGCGGCAAAACGGGAAGATCTGAAACATGCTGCTCTATAAATGGATCTAAACACCATCATCTTCTCCATTTTTCTGAGGCTTTTAGTTTTTTAACCAAATTGGCAGAAAGCAAAACTGTAAAGAAAATGCAGAGTCACCACACTAATGGAAGTTTCCGCAAATCATAAACCAACTTTGAAGCACAAAGTATTAATGAAGGCGGATCATTCTTCGTTATTTTCCCAATATGAGGCTCTGCTTTGGGCCACTTGTTGGGCTCTTAATTTCCATAAAAGGATATTTATAGACTCAATTGGTCTGACAACTGAAACTAATAGGCCCAATTCCTTTTCCTTGTATGTTGTCATTACTAGGTTAGCTCCTTTCAAGAGACTTGGGACATAATTGGGCTGAACCTGACCATGACTAGGTTTCTATTCAACATATATTGAGACAGCATTACCACTACAAAACTACAAGTCAAGCCATTCTTACATATTTAAGATTATGAAATCATTGTCAGTCTAAAGCGCCTGCTAGCATGGTCAGGGTTTTCTTTTGTTTCCCTTGCAAAGAGGCATGCATTCTTGTAGAAACTAAGTGCAAAAATCATACATGGTTATAGCTTACATGTGTCTGATATTGACTTCCTGAAGCATTATGGGCTCAAGGAGTTTCTGGAAGATGTTAGAACCAAATTTGATGAGAAGGTAGCTCGGTGGATAAAAAAATGGTGGCGTAAGAGTTTTGGTTTGCCCACCTCAATTTTTAAAACTAGGACGACCTTGTTAACAGGTCAAAGCAGATGAAGGAAGTAAATTGTTGTGCCATCTAGCTATCAACAAGTACAAAACGGAAGAGAAATTTTCATAGCCTCAAATCAAAATCTAGAAGCCCAACCTCATCCCTCTACCTCTCCTTTTCTTCTCATGGATTCATCAAGCAAAGCAGAACTGGTTACTGAGTTCCCAGGTATCATCAGAGTCTACAAAGATGGCCGTGTCGAGAGACTCATCGAAACTGGCTTTGTCCCGCCATCAACTGATCCCCAGACCGGTGTTTCATCCAAAGACATAACGATAATCCCTGAATCCAACGTTTCTGCGCGCCTCTTCCTTCCAAAACTGACTAACCCTCACCAGAAGTTGCCTCTCCTTGTCTACTTCCATGGTGGAGCCTTTTGTATCTCATCACCGTTTACTCCAAAGTACAACAGCTACCTGAACGCTTTGGTAGCTGAAGCTAACTTGATTGCAGTTTCTGTGAACTACAGGAAAGCTCCCGAGCACCCTATCCCTACAGCTTACGAGGATTCTTGGGCTGCTCTTCAATGGGTAGTTTCACATTGTAATAGTAAAGGGCCTGAAGGATGGCTAAATGACCATGCAGACTTTCAAAGAGTGTTCTT